CCTACGGTCGTTCAACCAAGCCTCACACTCTTAAATCCTGAACCCTAAACCCCGAACCCACCCGGAACCAAAACCTCGACCGCAACAGAAAGGATGCCAAAAAGGAGTGGTTGTGGTTCAGGAGCTGGGATTTGTTGCCCCCGTTTGTGGAAAGATACCTTCACGCTCTACTGAAGGGGCATGAATAGGTGCCCATATTATTCCACGTGGGCTCCTTACTGCAAAGTAGACCAAATACCCCAGAAGCCTGCTTTGATTATTCAGGCCTCTATATGGGAGTTTCGGAAAATAGGGCACCCTCATACCCTAAAAGGTAGGATCCTTATTACAAGGACCCCAAAATACGGTACCCCCAGTTTTCGGAAACTCCCTCGAAAACCCCAAGCCCGACAGCCTACAGGCCAAACCCTCCCACACCCTGAACAGAATCTAGGTTCCTGAATAACCTTTTAATAATAAGGCTACCCTTTTTCCTGATATCTAGGTTCAAGAAGGGAACCCAAAAAGAAAAAGGGCAAAAAGGTACGACTCAGGAACCTAGGAATATTAGCAGGTTAGGGTTTCGGCATCCCTCTCATAAGCACCCCTGACCACAGAGTTGAGGATTTAGGGTGCCCTCTCATAAGCACCCCGATCCCTAGCCCTAGCTTCAAGAAGCCTCCTAAACCGAAGCCTGGATCCCTTTCAAGGTCCCGTAGTTTCTTCAACCTCCAATGTTAACGATCAGCTCTACGACGTAGGTTTCAGCAGCCAAGGTCTCGAGAGTTGAGCATTTGGTCTAGGCTGCTAGGCTCGGGAGTGTTGGCGCGATCATGTTTCCCAGCCGGACTAGATGTGTCCTTGCACAGACTGGTACTAATGTGCTGACGCTTGCATGAAGGCGGAATGCCGCGTGTTTAAGAACTTTAGGATTTCGGCCGGTGGCCTAGGCTTGAAGGCTTGGGGTCTGGGGTGCGCGGGAATTGAGATTGAGGTCCGCTTAAAGGGAACCTCGCCAGAATTGTGGCAAAGGTTAGGTCACATCGTGGCCTTCGTCGTTAGAAGGTGTCTTTTTGGGCATACTCTCGTAGAGCTGTAGGAAGCAAGCCTAGGAAAATTGCAGAATAATACTTGTATCGAGTCAGACTACATTACATGAATCAATCCGACCATCGATTCTCGATCCCTGACCCCAGGGCCCCCTCGTCTGCAAAGCCCGAAGCCCCTCTACCATACAGAGTTTAGGGTTTAGGGTTTAGGGGTTTAGAGGTTGAGGGTTTAGGGTTTATACACGGGTTTAGGGTTTAAGGGTTTAGGGTTTAGGGGTTTAGGCTTTAGGGTTTAGGGTGTAGGGATTAGGGTTTAGGGACTCCATAAGGTTACCGTAGTGGCTTGTGTAACGTTGCTGAAAGGTTACGATGACGCTTAGGTAACCTCGACAAGGAGCTACTATGGAGCCTAGTGGTAACCTTCACTAAGTCTAACCCTGAATCCGAAAATGCAGAGCTGTGGCGAAATGAGGCCCCCTACGGAGGAGTCGGCGCAGTTCATGAAGAACTGCGGCAGAGCGCTCGCGCCACTCCGCAACCCCCAAGACTTACAAAACTTGCAACCTTAGTTGCGATACATCTCAAACCCTGAGCCCAAATCCTAAACTTCCTCGAAGACTGACAAAACGAAACTCAAGGAAACGGACGTGAACCTCCAGCTAGACCTTACGTGCAGAATATTGGTTTGAAGGTTCGGACCCTCCGCGAATATTCCGTACACCATATTCGATTGAGGAATCTCCCAGAGTGTTCTGAAATCTCATTGCAGAAGGAGGCACATTCCTTTAGTTCTTGTATGTTGGAAGATCTGGTTAACCCCGCCCGGCACCGATCCGGAAACAGGAAGTCTATACACGGGCGAAAACCAGGCTGCGAAGCCCCAAGATTCAACTTGAAAGCTGCTTCGGATTAAAAAATGGCAATAATTTCTCCTTTGCGTTGATTTTTCCTACCTAAGTATACTGCAAGAGAACCCAGGATCTTATCCTACCTTTTGGAGCCCCTAGTCTAAGCTGGTCGTTGTTTTGGTCTTACAGGGGGCTCGCTACTCGAGTCTCAAGGATCTACTCTTGAAGCTCTTGCGAAGTATCTGAATCTGAAGCAACCCCGTAATTAAACCCTATAAAGTTCAAAAGTTCAAGCCTAACCCTAAACCCTTATGCCCTAAAAATGCTGAACCACGGTTGAGGGTTTAGGGTTTCGAAATACCCAGCCGCTGGTGGTGCGAGGGCGCCTGCAGCATGCGTCTGGAGCCGGTTCCCACAGTTTGTGAGCTCGGAGGTCAAGCCAACTGGCCTTTCTTGCTTCAGTGGGCTGCTTGGTTCAGGGTTTAGGGACGCAAGTGAGACTTGTATTGAACCAAGCTTCCTGTGTCTGCTGCCTGCATGATGATGATGACAACAGTGGCGTCGATGACGACGGTGACCATGACGAGATATCAATGGCATGACAGGACTTGTGAGGAGGAGTTGGTATAGGGGCCTTCATAGTTAGAATAGGATTTTGGAGCCCGTTATGCTACAATTATAAGAAGGAACTCCCGAAGTGGTATCGGTAATTATTAAGGCTTCTTAAGGCCCATATATTAGCGCAACGAAGAGCCAGAGGAGGAGTCGCAGCAGAGCAGCAGCCGCAGCTTCACTACAAGTCCTCGCCGCAGTCATCTTCGTCGATGTCGCATCATCATGATCAGCATCACAATCGTGTCATCAGGATCAGGGTTACAATTGTGGACGCTAGCATGGGCATGACCCCCGCCATCTTCTGCAATATCCTGAAATCTCGCATGATCACGTGCACGACCTGGACGACAAAGCCCTGCTTGAGGCTGCTCGGAAGAACATTCGGCGAAACGATGAGGTTGCACTGCCTTCACCCCGTTCCTGCAGCCTGTCCCTGCAAACACTCAGCAGGATTCCCCAAAACAGATTCAAAACCCAACCCCGAAACTGTGCAGAGGAACCAAAGAACAACCTCCAACAACCCCGAAACTCCAAGTCGAGCAAGGCAGGTTCTAAACCTGGCCCTTATTCTTACCTTTGGTTAGTAGGGAATGGAGGAAGGGGGCACAAGTACAACTACTATTACTACCATTCTTCCATTCCCTACTAACCAAAGGTAAGAGATCTGCTCCGCAAAGATGCCCTTGCAGCTTGGTTTCAGGGTTTGTGGGTCTCAGGGGTTCTAGGGGTCTTATAATATGGAGAATATAGTACAATGTAGTACAATATAATACAATATAGTAGAAGAAAGTATAATATAATTGAATATAGTAATAGTAGACTCTAGTATAATTTAGAATATTGAATATATAGCATGGTATAATATACTACTTATTCCCCCCTCTGCCGGCGGAATCTTGGTCTCCGGCCACTGCGCTTGCAAGGTCGGGGAAGACCTGGAGGCCGGCAAGCATGCCCAGTCGACAACCAAAGAAAGGCAATCTACGGTTGATGGATCCTTATTAGGGAGACTAATATAGGGGGCCTTAATAATTAGAATAGCGTTCCTTTATAAAAGGGTCTAAGAGGGCTACTATAAGGGCTACCTATAGTCTCCATTGTAGTTCCTTTTATTGGTTTAACCAGTTTTATATTAAGGATCCTAAAAGGTAACCCCAAAAAGGAACTATAATGGAGACTATAGGCATCTTCCAAACCATGTTGAAAAGGGTTGAAAAGGGTTTAGGATTTAGGGTTTAGGGGAGTTGAAGGTTTCCTAGGCTTAGGATGTAGGGGTTAGGGTTTAGGGTTTAGGCCATGTTAAAGGAAAAGGACAGCAAACCTCACGCCGAAGTCAAAATAGAGAGGAATCTTCCAGCTTGCAGCACCTAAGCCCTAAACCCTAACCCCCAAACCGTACACCTTAAATCCTAACCCCTAAAGCCCTGCACGTTAAACCCTGATAACCCTTGTGTAACAATAACCCATGCACCCCTGCATCAGGAAGTCTCAAACCCTTCTAGTGCCCCTTGTGGTAAGCCGCGCGGCAACCATTCGCAAAACCCGTGTCCCCTAAACCCCAAATTGCTCAACCCACTTCTTCTTCTGGGCAAGTAGCAGACCGGCTGCTTCCCGGGCTTGCTTCAGCGCCTGGAACGTGGTTTTGGGGCTTCGGACTCAGGATTTCAGGCAGAGTTCAGTGTGGAAGGTTTAGGTTTGAGCTGTTGCAGGGCCCGGGCTTGTGACGCAGGCTTAGTTTAGGGTTCAGGCTTGAAGGTTCAGCTTAAGGTTGAGGCTTCGGGGTTGCTGTGCAGGGCATATCCACAAATTCTCTGCAAGAAGAACCGCAGCTTTTCCGCACTATCACCATGTGGCGGGAAGCCCCACTAATCACATCTGGCCATCGCCACACGCATCGACCTCCTCGGCCTCGTTATCATCATCATCACCATCATCATCGCCATCACTATGACCATTATTGTCATCATCACTACCACCATGCAAGAACCACCGCCGTTGTCAAAAATGAGCCCAAACCCCTCGGTGCATAGCCACGCGCCTTGCTTGCAAAGCTTCTTGGGTAGCTAACTAGGAGGGTCGGGGGACTTAGCAACTGGTTATTTTAAGGACTTATAAGTACCAGAACCCCAATTAGGGTCCCTTTTAGGGTACTTATAAGTCTACTTACTACGTACTTACTAAGTCCCCCGACCCTCCAAGAATCAACTTCAGCCGGGACAAGGGACGTGCGCCTGTTTTAGGCGTCCGGCCACATAATCACTTGAAGCGAGGCGAAGGAACGGCACCTTTCCTCTTGATCACTTGCAACCCGCCTTCGGGTGAATTTCCAACTGCAAGACAATCCATAATAATATACGGCCTTAATAATTAGAATAGGGCATTGAATAGGGTTTCGGGGCCCATAATACTATAGTTGTAACAAGGAACCCCCAAAATAGTACAGGTGATTATTGAGGCCCCTATATCAATCACAGTACGGTGAAGTGGAGTGACTCGCCGGCTCCTGGTCTCACTTCGAGTCAAACAAATCATCCACACTATCAGAAGGAGCATTCCTTGGCCGTCCTGGATCTGGATGGGCTTGGGCTTGGGGCTATTTGCATAAGAATTCCAGGTTTCGGGTCCGAAGGTTTGCCTCTTAGCAGAATTCGGGCAGCAAGGACTTAGGTTTATGGCACGCAGCCTAGGCTACTACAGTAGGGTGCCTGCCGTTCCCCTGAAATTCGTGCAACCCTAGCAGCCGACTATAGCTCATGAAACCTCTCTCGCGAAGGAACTCGTGAGGTCTAGAGTCTGTGAGGGACACTGCTTGGATACCATTCCGAATTCTACATGTTCCACGTCTACGACTCCGCACCTGTGACCTTGCACCTGGAACTCTAAACGCAAGACAGGTCGACCGAGTCTCCTTCTGCAGCGTCGCCACGGCCGTTCTTTCCCTTCCACTTGCCCTTGCCCTTCGCCTGACGACAGCAAGAGCTCCATGGCACGTGGCAGGTCTTTTGTTTCAGATTCGGGGGGAGCTGGTGAAAGTAGACTTGTCATGATGGTGATGGCCATGACTCGACACCTGTGTTGGCACCTCTTATGTCGAATTAAGAAGATCAGATAAGTTCCTCCAAATTTCATTCCATTCCCTTCTCCATGTCATTCTCTTCCAGCTCATTCCCGTTCCATCCCCATCCGTACCGATCACTCCACCCCATTTATTCATTCATTGAGTCAGTCAGTCAGTCAGCCAGCCTGCCGGCCGGCCAGCCAGCCAGCCATACAGCTCACGAAAGCTACTATCACCAGTGTCTTCGAGTCGTTCCAGGGAAGGAGCCACATCAACAGGTCTCGGAAATAAAACCGGACGTAAGCCCCACAGTAGCACTGAGAGCGCAAAGCCGTGAATCCGAAAGCCACTGCATATGAGGATCAAGAGCCTCGTCGTGGGCCCCGCATCCACGCTTCATGGGAGGGGGATGGGGTGGCAGGGGGGAAGGGGATGGGATCACTATGATGCTGATGAAATAATCCCGACTCCGCTTTTGGGCTGCCAGTGCTGTTGTTACCATGTCTATGGCGCCATTGTGCTCTCCCACACGTCGTGACTTCCAATCCCAGTGGTTCCGGCATGCGCCGTAAATCACTCAAAATCCTTTAGGAACTGGCCTGAACTGCGCCGGACTCTCTCCAATCCCCTTTCGTCTGCAGGACTCTGAATTTACTCACCTCAGCATCCGAAAGAGTTGAGACCCAAGTTTGCTGGATTGGTTCAGCACTGTGCCTGTCCTTCTGGAATTTCGGGCTTGGGGCTTAGGCTTGCTAAGACTTATCCTGGTCCTCACTAGAAAGCTCCGAGGTTCCGAGTTCATGTTTGGTGGGATTTCAAGGACGGGGCTGTTCATTGTTAGTGATAGACCCAAACCCGGGTAACTTATTGTTATCTTCTCAAACTCCCATGGACTGGCTTTGGCTTTCGGGGTAGGATTTAGGTCTTCGGAAACTTCCATGTTGAGACCTGAGACCTTCCAGCCTGGGTCCAAAGCCCAACACCCGGAACTCGAAACCCTCAACTCGTGTCGTGAACACTAATCCCTAAACTCTAACTAAACCCAGAGCCGTAACTCGTAAAGCTTTAAATTTAAACCCTAATCCCCCACAACCCCAAACCTCAGAACTTGGGTGCGTCGGCAAACAAGTCCGAAGCTCAGACAGGGGTGGCGCAGGGTCTTTAGATCAACCCGATGTACTGAGGGCTTTCGAGGGAAACCTCATAATCCTTTGCATCCGCCGCAAGCTGTGAACACTGAGTGATGGGTCTCGCAGATCTATCGGGGACTGTGCTTTTGGAGCTCGCGCTTTGGATCCACAGATTAGAGCATGCAGCCCCTGCCGTGCCTTCAGTGCCTCCAGACCCTCAGCGTCGAGTTCCGCCATCTGCCAGCGAGCCAGGAAGAAACTCTATGTCGTGGACCCTAAACCCTGACAAAAATGATCCTCTCTCCATTCTCCGGTTTTCCTACCTGACGCAGTGCATTTCGTGTTCCTTGCACCGTTAAGCCATCTGGCTTGCCCCATAGTATTTTGTAGTCATGTTGGAACATACATCATACATATTACATCTGTGCTAGATGCATGCATGTGCATGACTGTAAATGCGTGCGCACGCTGCGACTGCGAACCACCACCGCCACCACCGCCACCACCGCCACCACCAGCACCACCACCACCGCCACCACCACCACCAGCAGCAGCACCACCACCACCAGCACCAGCACCGGCACCAGCATCAGCACCAGCACCAGCACCAGCACAAGCCAGCACCAAAGTAATGATGCATGATGTCATGACAGGACGAAGGTGGGCGGCGCGATACAACTGTAGCTGCCCATGCAATGGGTTGGGACGTACTGCTCAGAATAAATTTGCGGCTCTGGCTTTGGGGGCCTGAAGATATAGGGCTTAGGGTTAGAAGCCCAGCATCTTCCTCCGTTACCACGCAGTCCTGCAGCAACATCCCGACAGTCCGCTTTTGAAGAAGCTCAGGATCTTGGACTATTTTCCTATATAAGCCCTACACCCCTAAAGCCCTACACCGATAACCTACCTGGGGTCCTGGGGTCTCACTCCAGAAACCCGCAAAATTCCACAGGCACCGTTGCGGGGAGTCTGAGGATCCCAAGCCCCCAACGTGAAACCCGACTCCCTTAAACAAAAGCACAAACTTCTCCACGACAAGCTTGAAACCTTCGCCAGATCCTCAACCGGAAACAAAACCCCCCAATTAATCCCGGAACCCTTGCCTGCACTCCGAGTACAAACCCTAAACCCCCAAACCCAAAAATTCCTAAACCCTAAACCCCTAAACCCCCAAACCCCCTAAACCCTCAAACCCCAAACCCCTAAACCTCGAAACCCCTAACCCGATTCCACGAAAAACTCAATCCGGCCTTTCCCTTCCAGCCCTTCCAGCCCTTCCCACGGCTTGGCTCCACCTCGGTAGCCGAAGCCTCCTGGCAACCGCTTTCAAAGGGTTAGGGGTTTAGGGGTTCGGGGGTTTAGGGGTTTAGGATTTGGGGGTTTAGGGGTTTAGGAATTTGGGGGGGGTTTAGGGTTTGGGGTTGCTGAAGTCTACAAGAACTGACCACCAAAAGCTCTGAACTCTAAACCCTTCTAAGACCCTGCTGCCGAACTCTGAAGTCCTAAAGTGAACTGAACTCTAATGTCGACCTTAACACAGGGGCCCTTGATAATAGGAGTCGGCTTTGGGGGTATATCATGCCCTACCCTAAACCCTAAACCCTAAACCCTAAACCCGATTCGAAGAGATGAGAAGGAGCCCTTGTGATGCAACTTGGCAGTCGTAATGACGAAACCTATTCACGTAGTAGCTGAGTTCATAAGGCCCCAGAAGTGTAAACTCTCAGTGTTATAGTGGGTCATACTATCCCAAAAAGTGTTGAAGTGTATCGACTCAGCTACTAAGATTCAACTCTCATTTCCCCGACTAAGATGAAAAGTGCCAACCTCCTCTGCAGCTTCCGAGACGGTGTTGGCCTGCTTCGCAAGCTGCCTGGCGCGGGTCTCCCATGAGGCTTCGGTGCAGGGCTCGGAACCCTCAACCAGCAAGCCTTCGTAGAAGAGTTCAGGAGAGGTTCAACTTGGGGTTCATAATTTGGCGTTGACACACTACTCTTTTCTCAATGCTACTGGCAGTCTATTAGTAGTCTTAGTTGTAGTTCTGCCAGCTAGTCTTCCACAGACGCTTTGATTGTTTTGCACGGGTGCACAGTGGGTGCTCTTGTTGCTACTTTGTTGAGGCTTTCTGGCTTGAGGCTCCTTTTAGAGAAGCATGCCACTCCTGAACCAAAAATGCTAAAGATCCTGTAAGTAGAACGTCAAAGCGCAACGCCTTGAGGACACTAAAACCCTTCAAAACTCCAATGCCGCAAATCCTACTCCGAAATCGCCCCCCAAACTTTGAGGTTTTAGGGTACGGAGGTTCAGGGTTTCGGGTTTAAGGGGGGTTTACAGCTGGCATGTGCTGATTCACGGTATCTCGCGGTTGATTCGTTCGGCGGTGGATTCGTTCGGCCGTCGCGTTCTGTAGGCTTGGGGTTCAGCTCAGCCGCTTGAAACCTATTTTTGGGAGTTCAATATTAGGGGTACCTTATTTGGGGTCTTTATAATAAGGATCCTACGATTTAGGGTGCTATATTTAGGGTCAATCTTGCCCTGTTTCGTGCCGGTCATGCACGAACATGCCACGCTACGGTTGGTGATATAAGCCTGCATTACCCATAAGGACCCTAACCTATGGGAATTATGGTATATTCCTTATTATGGGTAATGCAGGATCTATATCATCGACGTTAGGAGCCCGCACCTCTGCACCAGCCCTGCATAGATGTTCTGGTTCTTCAGCAGCTCCTCTGATCACGGCAGTATGTGAATGCGGAACCCTGGAAATAACATCTTGCCATGCTTACAGAATCCAACCCCGAATGACAATTCTGCATCGGAGGTCTACGTCCCAGCTCAGCTCTCGCAGAGATAGAGATAGAGAGAGAGAGAGAGAGAGAGACAGGGGGAGAGAGAGAGATATATATACATATATACATATATACATATATATATATAGAGACAGAGAGAGAGAGAGAGAGAGAGAGAGAGAGACAGACAGACAGACAGACAGACAGACAGACAGACAGACAGACAGACAGACAGACAGACAGAGAGAGAGAGAGAGGGAGAGAGAGAGAGAGAGAGAGAGATGGAGAGAGAGAGAGAGAGAGAGAGACAGGACCGGAGGGGGAGGGAGGGCAAAGCAAGACGCCGGGGGTGGAGGCCCGGCCCTCCCCCGAAACCCCCACAGAAACGACAAACCCAGATCCTCATGCGTGCCCTGCTCGACCACAATTCCTTTGTCCATGACCACAATCTTGTCGGAGCCTCTTGTTTCGGTTGATGATATAAATCCTGCATTACCCTAAGGACCTTATATGGGAACTATGGTATGTTCCTTATTCTGGGTAATGCAAGATTTATATCATCAACCGTAAGTCAACGATTGGTTGCGGGTTGGGAGTGGAGACTTCTCGGGCGAATGTGCAGCGCTCGGGAAGGGCAGCTTGTTGAAGGCTCGGTTCTGAAATGATCGCCTTGATGGAGACGGGTGCCCGGGCGTAGTCATGTCATGGGACGCTTTCAGCACCGACCCCAGAAGTACGACACCTCTCCTGCACCTTCAAACAACTTCAAGGCTCGAAGTTTTTCACCTCCTAACCGAAGCCCTAAAGCCCTAAATCCTAAACCCTAAACCCCAAACACTAAAAGTGCATAAGAGTCGGACCTTCCCCATGTGCGGCTTCGCACATCCTGGGTACGGTTTGCTGTGCCCATGAAATGTAAAAAGTCACAAAAGTCTAATCCCAACCCTGAGTTTGAGAGGTTCCGACTGAAACAATGAAACCGGGCAAACCCAAACCCTTCATTTCCACCAGGGCTCAATGCCTCTGAACCCGGAAACGCGAAGCAAGGCAAATGGAATGGAACCTAGTCACCTGAAGAACTACCCAGAGATCCCAAGACCCCTTAATTAAGGAATATACCTTAAATTATAATGGGATCCCTAATATGATTTAAGGTAGGTATATTCCTTAACTAAGGGATATTGGTTTCTCTGGGTAGTGGGACATCTGCCAAGCTGCTCATGACTGTGGACAAGCGGTGGGCGATCAGCATCCTTGCGATCATGACGATCTGCTAGTCTCGCTGAGATCTGCTGTGGACAGACCACTGCTTCTAACGGCCATTACATCCAAGCACCATTCCCGAAGCGGTTGCTGCTACCGTAATTTTGACGACGACATTATTCCTTTTTTGTCGGTTTGCTGGTCTTGCTTCTGAGGTTGTTGGGCTTTGGCCTCTTCTTCTGCTGTAGATGCATCTTGCTGCTGAGTCTTGCTGGTGGTTCCAGCATCTTGAGCTGCGGCTACGACTGCTGGCTGCTAGCTGGCGCCGTGTGCTTCTGATGCTGCCGATGCTGCTGTTCCCGCAGTTGCCGCCTGTTCTGTTTCATGCTGTTGTTCTTGCTGTCGTTGCTGCTGCTGTTGTTGTTGTGGTGGTGGATGAGGTGCTGGTCGTGGTCGTGGTGGCGGTGGCGGTGCTCGGCTCCTACAGCTCACAGCACGAGGCCTGCAACTCGAAACCTGAAGAAATCACCCCCCCAACCTATCTAAAGTCATTGATAATTCATGGAGTTTGGGGCCCATAATACGATAAGCTAAATCAGGAACCCCAAAACAGTGTTGGTAATTGTTTCGGGCAGTAAAGTCCTCAGGCCCCGTACACCCCAAACCCAAAACACGAGCCCGGTTGGCACAGAGCAGTTGCCCTCCACGCGGTGGACCAACTCATCCAGGGCCTTCCGAAGCTATGAAGCGAGCGGAAACTAATTATAGTGACCTCAACCCAAAACCATAGCATCCAGCAGATCTCCCTAGGGCTGATAATAAGGGCCTCAATGACCAGAAACCTGTTTCGGTGGCATATCATAACAGCAGATCGTTTTGCGGGAGGGTCAAGTGTTCGCGGGTTCCGAGGTTCCGACCTCGGGCCTGCTTGGTAGAACCACCTGCTGCACCTTCCGGTGTAGCGGATCAGGGAGTTTTTTTGATGAATGATAGCAGACCTTTTCCGACTCCTGCTAGCCCTTGAGTGAGACAGGCTCAAGGAGACAGCACTTACAGCATGTCTAAACTCGAACCAAAGAACCTCCCGACTTCGCCATTCCCGTGCTGCGAGGCAAACTGGATCAGAGAGCTTAGGGTGTAGGGTCCTCGGGAGGCAGCTGTCGGTGCTGCCCCGCATATCACGAAAGATTGAAGTGCACCGTAACACCCGAAGCCTAAATGCCCAAACCTGTAAGCCCGAAAGCTAAAAGCCACAGACCACAAAAGTCTCTAAACCCTTAGCCCAAAACGCCCCTCAACCACCCTTTTAGCCCCAGAATAAAACCCCCCACAGCCCCTGAGCCCTGAGCCTAAACCCCAAAGTTCCCCAAATCTCAAGCGCAACACCCACAGAGCCGTAGAAAGGGCCTCCTGTACCTTGCCCTCGTTCTCCGCATCCTCGGAGAAACTCTGCTGATCATAATCGTAAGCATAATAAGAAATCATCAACAATGTCGTTATCTTGCTCTCGGGGGTCTGCATAACAACACCCAGAGTCCTGGCAACAGAACGGCGACAACTTGCTGTCTGGCAATGCTGCTGCGTAGACGGTACAAGCACTGTGCTTAGAACTGCGACCCCAAACCGTGAAATCTGAACCTGAAACCCTAAATCCTAAAACCCTAAACTCCTAAACTTCCTAAACCCTCAAGAAAGAAAGAAATAGAACTTGCGTGTCCTTTTCATCCTGAACCCCCTTGAACTTCCCTAAAGCGTCAATTGCAGCCCAAAAGCCCCACGAAAAAGAGAAGCCAGCCCCGAACAATAAGCAGAAACACAACAAAACTCCGCCCGTCCCCACAAAAGCCCCGAATTCAAAAAATCAGGTTCCAAAAGGAAACGTGATCAAAACGTTTCGGTCAAAACTGCGGCGCCAAACCCTCAAATCTATAAGCCTGAAACCCTAAATCCCAAGCCCTAAACCCTAAACCCTAAATCCCAAACCCCAACCCCGAAAACCTAGACTCTGTGACGAGCCGCGAGCGCAGAGGTGGCCTTGCAGCGGGGTGGGAAACCCTTTGCGCGGTTTAGGGTTTAGGGTTTAGGGCGGCTTCAGGGATTTTATGTAAGGTACTGTCAAGGTCTTCACAACGAGGAAATTTGGACATATTTCGGTATATATTTGAGACCGCACTAAGAAGTTGCAATCACTACTGATTGTAACCTCTGCTTTAATCAAACCCCAAGCCGCAGGACCCGTTCTTTGGGGGACTTGGAGCCTAGAGCTTCGGAACACGGGTTCGGCCCCCTGAGCCCTTAGAATTTGGGGTTTCGGGCTTTTGGGGATGTAGGGTTTTAGGTCTTAGGCTTTAGGGCCCAGGGTTTAGGGTTTGGGGCTTTAGGCTTTAGGGCTTCAGGGTTTAGGGTTTGGGGCTTTAGGCTTTAGGGCTTCAGGGTTTAGGGTTAAGGTTGGTAGCTTCCACCCCTTGCGCCTTCTGGCGCGGCCTCCTTGTTTAGTCGCCTCTGAACCCTAAACTGAAACCTCCGAACGTGCAGCGGTTTGGGGTTTAGGGGTTTAGGGCTTAGGGTTTAGGGGCTTAGGGTTTAGGAGTTTATGGTTTAGGGTTTAAGCCAAGACCCCAGGAAAGTGAACCCTGAATCTCAAAGTCAACCCATCACACCCCCCCTCCCCAAGCGCTTAAGTCTTCCGAAACCGTGCTTAGAGGATCATGGGACTTAGTAAGTAGGTTATGATTGGGGCTACAAGTCCCCTAAGTGGGGTTATCCTAATTATATCCTACTTATAACCTTACTTACTAAGTCCCATGAGCCTTTAAGAAAGCTCGAACAGCACTGCATCTAAGGAGCCTCGTCCAAAAGAAGCAAGGATGGCTTCCTCACCGGGTCGAGGTCGCCATTTGTATGGTCGGTCGACTAAAGAGATATGCTAAACTGCTTCACAATGTAAGTGATCACGATATACCTTTGTGCTTTATGTGGCTTTTACGGTTGTCATATATAGACCAATGAACGCTATCTTTGCTCACGCTCTCCCCCCGGCGTCACTTCCACCATGCCTGTTATCAAGGTTTTGCCTCCCGTTTTTCAGTGCGTACCTTTACTGGCATGCTTGCTCTCGTCAGTGCACTCGTGATGCGTTGCAGTTCGCGGGTAGCTGTCGGTAGTCACCATGCTTTCCATCATTGACATCATGTCACCGTCACTTCACCGTTTGCACTGGCATGGCAACCGAGTCACACGACCGAGACCGAGACTGATGCCTTAGACCATTATCTGGCAGGCAGCAACCCTCCAAATCCCAAAACCCGACGTCAGAGAGACTCTGAACTCCAGAAACCACCTAATATGGTGGCCTTAGTAATTAGACTCGGGTCTGGGGGTATATAATACCATAAATATAATAAGGAACCCCCAAAGTAGTATCCATAAGTATTTAGGGCCCTATACTACACCCTGCAAGCCCCAAACCCCCCTCCTCAACAGAGCTCGGCCGATGGCCACCCTTTGGCGCTGACCGCCGCTGAGGCGTGTTCCACCCTCCCCTGGTCCGGGTCGAAATACGTCATTGTAACCCAAATCAGTAGTTATATCATCATTAATTCGGGATATGATAATATGGGAGTTTCCGAAAATCGGGGAGCCTAATATAGTACCTTAAATAATAGGATCCTGATTATAAGGACCCCAAAATGAGGTACCCCAATTTTCGGAAACCTGCATATGAACAATGATAACGAACACTGATAATGATAGTAATTAGATAGAGCTGTGTGATTCTAGGAGACTGGGGTCTGAGGAATAACACCGCCCCTTCTTAGCGCGAATCTGTATGTAAAGGGTTTAGGGTTTTTTTGTTTAAAGTGTAATTGCTTTAGGGTTTAGGGTTCCGGGTTTCCTTCAGGAAGGGGGGGGAGGCAGGGGTTTTTTCCTTTCTTTGTAGGACTTTTTAGACGAGGGTCTACCCTGCCATCCTTCGATATTACTGACTGGGTCTCTTTAGGGTGTATCGATGCGTCTGTTACTGTTGTTCCTGTAACACAAAGCCCGAAAAGACCTCAATCCTAAACTGCTGTCCCTAAACCCTAAACCCTAAACCCTAAACCCCTAAACCCTAAACCCCTAAACTGCTGTTTCTTCAGGTTCTGGCACCCAGGACATGGAGTCCGCTTCACAAGATGCCGAAAACGACTGACCTTGGGCCGCCGGACTCACCCCAGCCCTAAACCCTGAAGTCCCCTTGTGAGGCTCGGAACTCCAAATTAAGAACCCTAAACACCCGAAACCCTGACCCTAAGCCCTAAACCCTAGGTGAAATCTAAACTTCTGAACCCCAAACCCCTGAACCCCCAGACTCAGGAACCCCTGCACTTGAAGCACCTGGGACGCAACCGGACCCCTCTCAAAAAAGCAGCTGCAGGGCAGCCTATCATGGAGTGGTAGCCGTCTTCGAGGTCCTTCGCTGCGTCGAAGGGCGGGTCTAGGGCTGGGTCTAGGGTTTAGGGGTGTAGGGTTCAGGGTTTAGGGTGTAGGGTGTAGGGTTCAGGGCTTGGGGTTTGGGGTTTAGGGTTGTAGTCTCTAGCTGTGAATCTGACCATCTTTCTGTCTCTCCGTCTTTCTACCTGTGGAATCTACAGAGCTTCTTTGCACACCAAATGCCTGCGGCCACAGCTTGACGGTTGTAGCCCAAATTCACGACTGTAGGTTTACCGGCGGGGCCTTACAGGTTAATGCTAATGCTCAACTCCCAGAGGTCGCTTAGGGGCTTACGGCTTCGATTTCGGGTGAGATTGCAGGCAATCTCGTCATCTCGTGGATTCGAGGTTCAGGGTTTGGGGCAAACGGGTCCAGAAAACAGCTGTTTGTTGTAAGTCAGGTGCCATTTGGACTGAACCAGCGGATTTGTTTGGTGCCTTCGGGATTTTCGAGTCCTGATTACATATTTCGCGCCGAGAACTGGAACTCGTAATGCTATGAGACCTAATCTCTGGACCCTCTGATGCGGCCACGATCTGGCCCGAAGCGTTCAAGCCTCAAAACCCAATTCTCTAAAGAGCTCTAACAACCCTCAACACGAAGCCCCACAAGGGACCAGCTCTCCATTTTGGACAACGCGAGGCCGCGAAGCCAATTCAAGAGCATTCCGCCCTACTACACCAGACTCCGTCCACATCTCATCTGCTCTACAAGGTTACATTAGTTTTGGGGTTTAGGGTTTAGGGTTTCATTTTATTGAAGGCTCAAGCACTAGAGGGCTTCTGGGCCTTTATGAGCTGGAGAGACCACTACACCTCCTGGGGTTTGAGGTTGAAGGATTAACCCTGAACCTTAAACTCGTACTATAGGGGCCTTCATAGTTAGCATAGGCTTTTGGGGACCATTATACTTTACTATAAAAAAGGAAGCCCCCAAAATAGTATTGGTAACTATTTAGGCCCCTATAGTAGAGCTACGAGGGCAACTTGGGCAGCCATGGCACCCCCCTGCTGTCTCCTAGAGAAGCAGTGGCCACGCAAGAGCCTCGCGGCTGCCGCTGTGGAGCTGGCCAAAAGCAAGCGCACGATCTTGGTGGGGAAGAGCAAGAGCACGATCATGAAGAGCAGCATCGGAAACTGCAGCAAAGTGCCTCTAAAGAGTATCGTTAGGGGGACAAGCAATTGACAGACGATGGCAGCTAGAGATGAGGATGACGTGCGGGCCCGAAGTATCTTCCGCGGCAGCATCAGCAGAATGAGTAGCTGCAAGGGCAGCAGTATAGCAGGTGATGTGTGTGGCGTTTGTCTCAAGACCACCACCAGAGGAAGGGCCATGTACACAATCACAGTGGACCTATCTACTGAGGCATATGCACACAACAGCGAAGCTGCCACGGCCTTCGGCCAGCCCCAGTCAACAGTGTCCAGGGCACCAGCTTCCAAGAGAATAGACACGATCTCCTCATCGTTGTTGGATGATGCAACTACGAGGCTTTCGCGAAGAGAGCAAGTCGTGAGGCCTTCAGCTCCAGACTGCAGGAGCATACGAACTACAGAGACCTTGCCAGAAAGAGAAGCGGCTTCAAGCGCCCGGCCTCTGTCACCACCAGCCTCCAACAACAAGGTAACCACATCACTATGGCCGGCCATGGATGCGGCAGTAAGAGCGACTTGGTTGCCGGCGTCAGACACATCCTGCGCTCCAGCTTCCAACAACAAACTCACCATCTCACGATGGCCTTCCTTCGAAGCTGCCTGGATGGGTGTCAGGAGCTCACCGGCGAAATCTGCAGCCAAGTTCGGGTCGTGACATGCTCGCACCATCTCCTCGACCTTCCACTCCCAGCCCCACATTGCTGCGCAAAGGAAGGTGCGCGCATCCTCTGGGGAAGCATTGGAGACCGGAAGCACCACCAGCTGTACATCCGACATGGCGGACAATCGGGCATGATCATCCAAGATGACATCTCCATGCACGATGGCTTGCCGGAACCGTGGGACCCCGAGGAGGGAATGCAACAGCTGCTTCAGCTCATCCACATGACCCAGATGTGAGACTGGAATGCGAGCTGCTTCCTCACCAGAAGGCCTCCAAACACACAGCAGCTTAGTGGACTCCGTGACGGGCATGGCATTCGCCCGAAAGATAGCCAAATCCCCCTTCGAGCCGGGGCAGACTCTGCTGTGTAGAGTTTAGGGTTTAGAATTGTCATTCTGTTTCGAGAATCAGCCGCTTCAGCTATATACTGAGGTCGAAACGCTCTCACGGAGTGCAGTCCTGTTGATGACCGGAATATCTACATGCACAGATCTATATATACACGATCCACGCTACATAAAATCGCACACGCAGCTGGAAGAACGGCTTCAACATGTTGGCTTCGAACCTGGAGTTTCTCGGGCGTCGGGTTTAGTACTAAAGATGTTGAAAATGGCCCGAAGTTCAGACGAGACCTCGCGGAGGCCCGTGGCTACAAGCTGAACTGCAAAAGATATGGCGTCGAAGCCGGATAAGCCTGCAAAAGATCCCAGACCAAACATCGCAAAGAGCTAGCCTACTCGTGATGCACGCATACTTTTGGTGCCTTGATAATTACCAACACTAGTTTTATAAGTATAGTACAATGGGGCCCAGAACCCTATTTTAATTATTAAGGCCCCTATGTACCTGCTCACATGCAAGTTTACACAGCTCCCTGGCACACACCGACTGTACAGCCAACACCCAAAGCAGCGCAAGCCCCAGACCACATTCCCACTAGACTTAGTAATAAGTGAGAATAAAAACTTAAAATACTACCTTAATTGGATTTGTAAGTAAGCTATAGCTGTAGCTAACCCTATTTCTGACCCTCGCCCTAGTTACTAAGTCCCATGTTCCTTCTATGCAAGTCCACGGGCCTCCACGAAAGCGTGGGCATTGGCTGCCTTTGAGGCTGCAACAATGTCCTCGGTGGGAGGCACCTCACCTGACAGCCGAGTCGAGATGCGATGGATTGAGGATTCAAGGTACTGGGTTGTAAAACAGGATTTCAGGTTCTCCCGAAACAATGAACCCAAAGACCCGAACCCCAAACCCCAACTGCTAAACCCTAATTTAAAGCCGTGTCGAGCTCTCTTGCAGCCGCACGAATCAAGGCGCAGCTGCGCCAGAGGTTGCACTTCTACACAAGACAGGGTTTAGCGGTGTAAGGTGTACTGTGCAATAAACCACTTGGAGATCAACAGCATCTAGACAGCTACACGTACAGCAGCAACAGGATATCTAAAACCATCATCGCGTGTAGTGTGGCTGTACAAACATATATCTGCGTGCACATGCATGCAGGCATACAGATGTACGTGCATGCGAAGGTTAGATTACATATGACACAAGCAGACACATAGACATTGACATATACCGGCGTAAGCAGAAAAGTGATCGATGTTACATACTTCTCAAAGTACATGTCCTCGACGTTCTGCAACCAACGTATACGTCGATTCGTGATGCTTTAGAGCGTAGGGCAGTTTAGGGTTTAGGGACTTGGGGGTTGGCAGCGGCTTGGTGCATAGATGGGTGGTTGTCGAAATCATGGCCCCTTCTTGGGTACCCTAAACATTAGGTGCCGTATTACAATAAGGACCCAAAAAAAGGGACCATAATTTTGACAACCGCCCATAAATCAGGGACCCTAATATAGTACCCTAAATAGTAGGATCCTTATTATCACGACCCCCAAATAAGGTACCCCCTAAAATTCGGAAACTCTAAACCCTAAAACCCTTATCACCCTGCCTGGTTCCAGACCGTAGGTTAAGTTCTCGAGGATGGAACGGCAAAAGACCTGCGACAGGAAGCCCACCCACAGGGTTCAGGGTTTAAGGTTAACCCTAAACCCTGAACCCTAAACCCTACTGTACAGTTTAGGCTTAAGGGTTTAAGGTTAACCCTAAAGCCTGAACCCTACCACTGTACGGTTTAGGCTTAAGGGTTTAAGGTAAACCCTAAACACTAAAACCTAAACCCTTCCTGATAGTCGTTGCCGGCTTCAAGTCGTTCGACCCAGAGCCCGAACCCGAACCCCTCTACGGAACACTAAAGCCCTTTACCCAAACCTCCGAGTTGAGGGTTTAGGGGGCGTTGGGGGCTTTTTACTCAAACCTCCGAGTTTCGGGTTTGGGGGGGCTGACGCCGTGGATTAGAGTTAAGGGCTTTTGCCCAAACCTCCGAGTTTAGGGTTTAGTGGGAGCTTTAGGGTTTAGGGAGTCAGACCGCGGCTTAGGGAAAAGGGCTTAGGGCTGTTCTACGAGGTCGACGGTTCCAGGGTGTAGTTTCGCGTCGCTGGAAGGTGAAGGTGTTGTGTTTGAAGCCACTGCTAGAGCTTCCTGGTCGTACGAAGGGGTTGTAAGTAATGCCTTTGCATGAACCCAATACACGACACTGCTGATGCAGTGAAGGAGTGCAACAACCGAATCGCATTGCTGGGGTGGTGTCTTAACAAGGATTGCTATCTGTATTGTTATGATTTATGATGATATGTATTCCGTTTACTCGTATTTAAACCAGCCCTACAGAGAAGGAAAAACATCTCGAAAGGGCCCAAACAGCATGCCTCAAAAGATTTCAACAAGCCGCAAGCCCACGTCCTCAGCCTGTCGCCTCTCAAGCTCCTAGTTTGGAAGGGCACGGGTTTAAGAGTTGAAGGCTTGAGGTATACATTACACATTACGGTACCCCAAGCCCGGGACCAAGACAAAACCGAAAGGAAACCCTTACTCCTCAACCATGCTTCGCTGTTGCAAAAAGCAGGGTCTCCTACCGTAGTTCCCACACTGCAAGTCAGCCTTTGAAGGAGCATAATCACACATCACCAAGAACGGCATACATAGTCTAGTGCTCGTCTTGTGACGCTGTCTGGCGGGGCCTGCGTATCCTGGGACACAACGCCCACGCGCCTCGAGTTTCGCAAGAGGGATCTCACACCGGAAGCCCCCCACTAGACCAGGAACCTTCAGCCTAACTTACCTACCCAAAAGCCCAAAGTACTAAACACTGAACACTACCCACCAAAAGAGGCCCGTTGTAGACTTCATTGTTCCATGCAAGCCGTTGCAGGATCTCCCAAACGGTTCGGCGTGACTTAGCGTTGGATTTCTTCCGACATCCCAAGCTGAAGTCGAGCCAAACTGCGGTGACCCGGACATGACTCCACACCATACATACATCCATGCATACATGTATGCACACGCATACATGTGCACATTGCATGCGTACGCGGGGTGTCAAGTCATTCGAGTTTGGGTGTTGAAGTTTGGGGCTAAGACAGGGTCAAGGTGAAGGTCTGCATGCCCTGGGTGTGCGGCTTAGCATTCTCAAGTCTCGTGCTGCGCTTTCAAAGGCCTGTGAAGCCGGCAAAGACCAAGACGAAATGATGGACGAGATGATGATGGTGATGCTGATGAGGATGATGGTGATGATGATGCTGATGATGATGCTGACGACGACGATGATGATGATTCCCTGACCAGCTTGCTGGGAAGATGACGTGGCTGAAAATCCTTCCTCGGCTTGGTACTGGAGCGTCCGGTTCATGGCGATGACAAAATGGTGTCATCACTCGCGATCTTGCAAGCTATACTGCTCTGCCTAGCAGCGCCCAACATAGTGACCTGATGTGACCTAATGTTTCCTCGTCAGAGGTCGCAACTGTGTGTCCTTTATTGACGTTGGCTCTGTGCTTGTCGTGCCTCCACAGTTTGCAAGCAACTTGAAACATAAGGTGGCTGCCAAACTCCCAAATCGCAAGCATCCACAATCCAAGCGCGGAGCTTTCGGTACAACTGCAGGTTGTACTCCGTGAGAAGCCTTCCGTTGACCAGGACTTGTCCGCCTTCGGATGGGGACTTACTCTTCGACGGTCTGAATATATAAACACGAAGCGTGTTTGACGAACGATGCTACTCAGCAGCACAGTCGCAAAACCTAGAAGCAAAGTCAGCAAAGTCACTCCAAGTAGAACGACTGCGACAGCGGCAACCCTGATACTACAAGTTTCAGCACCGAAAGCAGCTGTGGGACCCGAGCGAGGGCGACAACGAACATCACTCCGACACTTGTCCTCCTGCTCCTGTGCTGCATTGCCATGGAAACCTTATCTGTTGTTCGAGGACGAGGAGGACGAGGAGGAGGAGGCGGAGGAGGAGGAGGAGGAGGAGGAGCAGGAGGAGGAGGAGGAGGAGGAGCAGGAGGGGGGGATGACGATGACGCACGGAGTTGAGAGATAAACGTGGTTGAAATCTACATGCTGGGTATGTTTCTGTGAGGTGCATGGGCGCATGGATGTTGCCGAGGGCGTGCTACAGGAACAGTGCAATCCAGACTAGAACCCAGATAGACTCCCAAAGACACCTGCTCAAAATTCGAGTAAGGCTTTGGGGTATTGTGGCTACATGACATTATGAATAGGCAACTCACAATAGTATTGGTGAAATTGAGGCCCCCATACTGCGCCAGGACGAAAGTTCGTCGCATCCGGTAGGTCTGCTAACACATACTTGCAAACCCCTTCCCCCATAGACTCCTTCACGAAGTCGCGATGTCAGGCAAGGACGTCACTAATTCCTCCGTCGGAACAAAAAACAGTGTATGTTCATTTTGGCATGGAAATTCCTCCGCTGGCCAGGCCACGTAAAATGCACTTCTTCGTACTCCGAGTCCTCCGCCAAGCGAAGACATCTTAGTGCGACAAAACTTTCATCCTGCTGATGTATTTCATTATGGTCGAACCAAAATCCGAAACCCTAAACCCTCAACCCTTAACCCGAACCCTTAACCAATAACCCTCCCCTGAATCCATCCTCCTGTCCCAGATCAGTCCCGAACCCATGAAGCCCCACACTGAGCAGTCGCCTAATATAGTGGGTGCCTTAATACTTTGAATGGGGTTTCGGGGAATATTATATTATGTTTACAACAAGGAGCCCTAAGGAAGAACATTTCTTCTCTAGTAAATCCCAAACGCAATGCCAGACCTCTTGGGTCGTAGAAGCGCAGGAGTAGTCCCACCAGAGTGCTCCTTAGCATGAAGCAACCCAGAGACTACGAAGGAAGATCCCTCGAAACATAGTACAGTAGCGGGATGTCACTT